ACCTACCTCCTCTTCCCAAGTTCAAATTCGAGATTCAATCTCTCTTCTCAGTCTCTCTCTTCATAAACCTTACTCTTTTTCTTTTTGTTTTAGGGTTTTAAAAATGGTATCATGTGGATTTTTGGGATTTTGTTTTGAACCTTAGGTTGTAAAGCCATTTCGCTGTTTTTATGCTTCTGTTATTCGTTTTTTATTTTCACACGCCTTACAAGGCATGTTTTTTCAACATTTAGTTGATTGATGCCAAGGTAATCAACCCTATCTCTATATTTATAGGCCAAGGGTAGCAAGGCCATAATTTTAGAATTGAATTTTAAGATGTGTAAGAAGAATAAGATGTTTTTAATTGTATATTCTAAACAATGTTATACAAGTTTATACAATTTTTTAGAATTGAATTTTAAGATGTGTAACAAGAAGATGTTTATAATTGTATAGAGAATTCTAAACAATTTTATACAATTTATATTGTAGAGAATTTTAAAATGTCTTGCCATCTACATAGTTGTTAGTCTCTCGGAACCTAGCAAAATCTTTCGAGGTGGAAAGGTGACACTAACTGTACATTAGTACACAATCAACTATCAAAATTCTCTCATATTCTGATGAGAAAGTTGTGATGCACGTCAAAAAAATGTTAGAATAGGATGCAAGGCCAAACGTTGTGATATTTTCGTAACGTGTACTAATTCTCCTCACCAAATGAGATAAACGCAGGAGAGTATTTTAATTCGCGCTACAGCCTTCATTGGAAAAGATGTTGAAAAAGTTCACTATGGGTAGCAAAAAATAACCTTCCCTACTGGTTCTTTTACTCGGATACTGTTCTAGGACTTAATTCTAAAGTTGAGTGCACAAGTTTGCCCTTGAAAAACGAATGGAGGGTGAAACTTAATTTTAAAATAAAATGTAATATTTTTTTTCTTAAATGAAAATCAAGACAATGATGATTAGTTAAAGTTCCCTAGAAAAGATTGGCAAGCGCAAGACAAGGAAACTAAACGCAAGTTAAAAGGAAAGTACATGTGCAAGAAGTAAAAGAAATACAAGCAAAGAGATTGTTTGTTACTGTCATTTGTAGGGTTGACGTTTTGATTCATGTATGAAAGTAAGTTCCAGCTATATAAAACTAGCATACAAAGTTGGAAATGTTTTGAGTTCCTAAACCCAAACAAAGAGAGGGACTGGTCGGCAAACAATTTATGTCTGTTTAGGATACAGAGTTTGAGAGATGAAAAATCAGGAAAAGTGATGCGATTTAAATATGTCAACTTTTACCTGATTTTATTTATGATTATATGATTACTTGTGTTTCATCGAGATTACGTTTTCCCAAAATATCTAATAATTTATTGATGCTAAACACTATCCCCATCATAAATAAATGCTACCTGACTTAGGTCACTGTCATTTGTAGGGTTGAGATGAGAAGTTTGGTGACAAAATGGGTGTTGCGAAGGAATTGCTATCCACTTCGATTTGACAAAATTGTTAAAGGGCTTTTTTTTCGTGAATGACTGAAAAAGTATAAGAAAATTGAATTAAGATGCTCAAAACTCTCAGAGCAACTCCATCAGTGGCTTTTTTTTTTTTTTTTTTGGGTCAAAGTGGCCCAACTTTTCAAGATGCAATGCTCCAATGGCATATGGGAAAAGTGGACCCCATAAAGAGGTTCTTGATCCAGGTCGCCAAAAACCAAGATTGGTTGGTGATTCACAGGCCTGCCATGCGGGCCCGCATCAATTTTCTTTTTCTTTTTTAATTCTGGCTCAAACAGTGTTTTAGCCCAGAACACTGTTTGGCTGGGAAAAAAAAAAAAAAAAAATTTTTTTTCCTCAAAATAATTGAACCAAAGAGTTGTTAAGGCACTGTTTGGCTGACACAAACAGTGCCTTAAAGGCTTTTTTGGGCAAAAAAAAGTTTTAAAAAAATAGATAAAAGTGTCTTTTTTTAAAAAAATATTGCTTTTTAAAATATTCCTATTGACATATAGTCGTTTTAGGCACTGTTTAGTAAACCCGAACAATGCCTTAATGGCTATATTGGCACAAAAACCTATTTTTTGAATTTTTTTTTAAAAAAATTCATTCTATATATATATATATGTATTTAAAAAAACTTTCATTTTTCCTCTATAAATACATCAACTCCTACTATTATTCACCTCATATCCAACCCATCTTCTCAAGTTTTCAACCTACAGCTACAACTACTAAATCATTTTCTCAATCTTTTAGTTATATTTTTTACTCAAGTTCAATTTTATGAATCCTCCACCACCATATTACAACTACAACTCCCAATTCAACCAATCAAATGATAATTTTGATTTTATTTGTTGGAGAAGAATCTCAATTTGTTGGAGATGAATCTTAATTTTCGTCTCATCAACCTTCTCAAATTTTCAACATTCCTACTAAAGTGCCACAATCCAATAACTCCCAACCTCCCAAAAATCAAAGGGTTATTCGGCCTCCTAATTGGTCACAGCTGAAGATGAAGCCTTATGTTATGCGTGGATGGCCATTAGCACTAATGCTGTCATCGGTTTAGACCAACAAAAGGCAGCGTTATGAATCCAAATTCAAGAAAGTTTTGAGCAACACGTTAGTGGTGCTGGTACACCTAAAAGAAATCATATCGCCTGCTTGAATCGTTGGTCTATCATGTAACAAATGATTACCAAATTTTCTGGATGCATAGCCCAAATTGAAAAGAATTACCCCAGTGGGCAAGACAATGAGTACAAGGTAAGCTATTTATTATATTAAATTTAATTGGTATATATTTTAAAGATTTGTCTTCTAATAATTATTGATTTTTATTTTTTAACATGATAGCAGCCAAAGAGTTGTTTGCTCGTCAAAATAACACAAAATTTAAGTTTGACAGTTGTTGGAACATTTTGAAGAGCAACAATAAGTGGCATTTACATTATCAAAATGAATTGACATAAAAAAATAAAAATAAAAAAAAACAGCCGAAGAAGATGAGTGGAATCCACATTGATGATAGTGAGCCTATTGGTCACTAAAACCCATCTACTCCATCAAATAATGCAGCAACGATACCAAGTTCGGTTGAAGGATTGACGCATATAGGCGAAAATGATCCAACGGATGTTGAAGAATATCAGCGACCAGAAAGATGAAAAACAGCGAAGTAGAGATGAAATAAGGATAAAAGACAATCTGAAAGTCAGAATGATTTCATTAGCAAATTCGATCATGCAACAACCCTTTGACAATCTAAAACTCTTGAGGCCGCTCAAATAGCACAAGAGGCACGCAAAACAGATAAAGAAAAAACCAGACAACTCGAACTTCAAAGCAAACTAAGAGAGATTGAAAACAAACAAAGAGCTGAAGAGATATTAATCATGCAAAAAAATCCAAAATCGATGCTAACACAAGCCGGGAAAGTATGACTGATTGAACGCCAAAATGAAATATTAGCAATTATAAGCGCACGCGGTAACTCAAGCTTTCCATAAGATTATCTCAAGCATTCCATATGATTGTTCTGTTTTTCATAGTTGTTATGTTTTTAATTCATGTCGTATTGTATTGTTTTTTATTTTTATTGTATTGTTTAAATTTATATTGTATCGTATTGTTTTTAATAATAAATATTGTATTGTTTAATTTTTTTTTGAAATTTTTTAAGATATAGCCGTTTTAAAAATATAACCGTTAAGAAAAAGTTAAAAAATAAAATTTATTACAAATTTTTAAAATATTAAAATACTAATATTTTTGGAGAGCGAAAATGCACCATTGGAATATATCAGATAATTAAAATTTGGAGATTCTAAAATGCTGACGTGACTATACGAAATGCTAATATGGCTATAGAGAAATGCTGATGTGACAAATTCGAAAAGTCTAAATTCGAAAAGTCCATTAGAGATGCCCTCAGCTCTCATCCGAGTCCAAATTTATTTTCTAAGCTTATTATTCATGAATGGTTCTTTAGAATGATGGAGTTAAGCTTAAATATACTCCACAAATTTTAATAATAAAAAATATAACACTAAAATTAGTGCACGTCAATGGTGGGGCCATGCCCCACACACTCACATCAAAACATTCAAACAAGTCTGACCTCAAAAATATACTTTCAACTAAAAGGTAGAAAGCCCACAAGCGATTTGCGAACGACAAATATAAAAATAAAAAAATAAAAAGCAAAGAGTATAGATATACGAAAATTTATAATGAATTGTCTAGTTAAATAATTTTTAATTAATTATTTATACTAAATACAAATAAGTGAACGATCTCATTTTCTTATTTATTGCATAAATGATAAATTAAAAGTAATAAATTTAATATTTTACTGTAATTAATTGATGTAAAAATTATTTTTCTAAAATAAAAATAAGATATGAGTACGACATGATAAGGTAAAAAATATATATATATATATATATTAAAAAATAAATACATTTTTCATATACCAAAAATATATATTTTATATTAAAATATATAATTTTAATGAGTTTTTATTATATTATAAATTTAAATGCAATCATTAATAATATAACATTAGAGTTCGTTTCAAAACCCATTAAAAAAAATAGAGAAAAAAAGGAAAAAAAGTACACAACATCCTTAGCTATCACTTAATAAATTTTTAATGTTCCTAAAAATATGTTAGGAAGTATCTGAGTAAAGCTAAAATAAAATGATTTATTATATATATTATCATAGATATTAACCTAACTTTGACACACTGCTTTAAAAGTTTAAAATGAAAATTGTAATAATTAATTTTATTTATAGAAACAAAATCATAAATAATATAAATTATTGAGTTGTCCCATATTCTATTAGGAATGTATTATTATTAAGTCTACCGTCCAGCCCATCGAAGTCCGGTTATAACTCAATCCTGAAAAGGGTAAAGATTTGAAAAATAAAAAATAAAAATTTGGGCTTAAGTTGAGTTGGGTTTGGGCCGCCCAAGTTTTCCCAATTTTTTATGGTAACACATATCTGCACACATTAGACGAAGGACAAGGCGACTGTGAGGTTTGGTATCGCAACAATGGCGGTGGCGAACAGCGGAGAGATCCTAATGCTGGAAGCTCCTCCCCCTACACAGCCGGCGTGGTCCACCAGTGCTGAAATCATCGACGCATTGCCTTACATAGACGACGACTATGGTGACCCCAAAGTCAAAGAAGAGGTTGACCGTTTAGTCGAAGATGAGATACGGAGGAGCTCCAAGAAGCCCTCTGATTTCCTCAAAGACCTACCTCCTCTTCCCAAGTTCAAATTCGAGGTTCCATCTCTCTTCTCAGTCTCTCTCTTCCTAAACCTTACTCTTTTTCTTTTGGTTTTAGGGTTTTAGAACTGGTTTCGTGTGAATTTGTGGGTTCTGATATTGTTTGTTTTGAACCTTAGGCTGTAAAGCCATAAAAACAACGCTTCTGTTTTTTTTTTTTTTTTTTAATTAAAACGTTTACCCCACTGAAAGAAGACATAGCGTAATTAGCTGAGGTCCTGAGGAGACAGCTATGTACTTTTGATAAAGCTCTGTATATTTCTGTATATACAATTTTAAAGCATGCATATACATATGCACAGATGTAGGTAAACATAACTACATGTTACAAGTTTGTAGACAGAGTATGGGTAAGTATCAAACCCATACTAGAACACCTAGAATCCTTGAACTTCGAATTGAGTACAATACAAAGAGATCCTACCAAAATTTGGTTAATTTCTCGTTGAAATTGAGGTTACCACATTACAAGTTATGGATTAATAAATCCCTCAGAAAGAGAAGTGGTTGATATGTTGAAGTTGATAAGGCTATATGACTATTGTACATGCAAACACTAGAATGTCTCGACATAATTAAAAAACTTGGTGATGTACCAAATAGTTACCAGACATGTTTTGTCTGTAAAATTGAAGCGAATGTGGTAGGTCACTTTTGAAAAAATAACAACAGAAAGGTAAAATGTAGGCGAAGATGAGGTTTGCACCACATTAGCTAGCCACTCGGCATTAAAAAGTGCCACCCACATGCTCGCATGTCTAATGGGAAACAAGTCAAAAAAGTTCATTGCGCAAGGCTTTGAAGGAAAACCGTGACTCGAAGTGAGCAATAAGGATACTTTGCACAACCTTTATCTCAGCATCCTTTACCAACTCGTTTACATTAAAGGCATATGCATGTATACCGGTTCCTATATGTGGTCCAACCATACTTGGAACATGAATTATATTATTGGTTTGTAGAACTGGAATGGGAATTGGGCATGTGACGCACACTGAAACTTGGTATTATAGCTTAACTCCAGTTATACCATGCTTAGCATCTTGTTCCCACATAGCCAATCATAAATCCAAAAAGAGGATGTTTGCTCTAGGTAGTTAACACCAAGGTTAAAACCCTTGTCAAAGCTTTCTAAGTAAATGAGAAATATCAAAGGTTTTTATTGAGCAACTGCATAGAGACAATGCTTGGGTGCTTCGAAAATGGGCAAGGTTTGGTTGTCATTCGGATGAGGTGAACAGGTAGGTTTCCATACTCTTCTAGAGCACTTGAAGAGAAATTGGCAAGATGGTAGGCTTAGAGTAGCATTTGAATATGGTAACATTGACTGATAAAGGGATCCTTGGATAGAACAGAATAGCAAAAAAAAGGGTTAATGTAGCCGATCCCATATTGATAGGGGAATGCTATATTAAGCTGTGTTGAACTTACAGATAATGGAGCAGAATTGGTAGAAACTATTAAAAATTAAGTGAGTAGGAGAGAGAGAGAATAAAATTGAAAGTACAAGATTTTATCTCTTTTACAAGGGAAAATTTAGCGTAAATGGAGTAGGGTTTTCAGCATTAGTAATTCATAAGAACTTAAAAGAAACAATTATTATTACAAGAATAGTATAAATAATAATATTAACAGAACTCATATTGGAATAAAATGTGGTTAGTGTAATTAGCACTTTAATTGGATCCAATAAGTACATTGACTCAATTTTGGAAATATATGGATAAATTAGTTTAAGGAATGCCTAGAAAAGGAGAAATTAATTCATATGAGACTTTTAACTTTTAAGTGTTTATGTAGGAAACAGTTGTGATTGGTCTGAGATGGTGCCTTGTGGATTTTGGATTTGGAAACACAGCAGATGCTGGACAGGCTATCTTGGACTTCACAATGACATACGATTTTATGTTAATGAATGCCTATTTTAAAAAATGGAGATAAATATTTGACAATTGGATTTAATAGAACTCATATTGACATTTTTCTACTAAGAGTACATCTAAAAATGAGACAGATGTGCTAAAATAAAAGTCAAATTCATTTTACTAGACCAATCAAACTTTAGATGATATAATATTGAGTGATTGAGAGACAATATGTTTACAAAATGATCGTGGTCGAAATGTAGGTGTTGAGATGGATGTGTGGTAGAAATGATAATTCTAGAAATGGTTTACATTTGATGAGATAGTTGAAGTCACTCTTGAGGAGATAAAATGAGAGAAAAGTGACAATAACGGTCTGAACATGTGAAGATCAATAATTGCACCAACAACGAAGAGTTACGTAGTCCAATTAAAGGCAATGTAAGGAGAAGGGAAAGGACAAAATTAGCACAGTTAAGATAGCAAGTAAAGATGTGATAACATTTGGTTTAACTAAAATCATGGCCTTAGAGTAGAAAGGCAAAACATGATTCATGTTGTTGGGTTTTCTAAAATCATGGCATTAAATCTTATATAAAAATTTGGTTTCCCTTTTCTCTTTTTTGCAACTCTTAAGCAAATCACACTTTTTTCTGGGTGGGGTTTGGCTTAATTCTGAACCAAATTTTAATTGAAGGAAGAATACAACTAGGAAAAAAAAAAAAAAATTAATGAAAGGAAGAATAACTAAAAAACAAGGGAGAAGCCTTACTTCGAAAAAAAAAAAAAAACCTAAATATTGCCTAAAAAGGCTGCAACTAGGAAGAAGTTTGAAACATATCTAGTATGTAAGAACTTACAATGGCATATATATAATTTTATCACCCCTTTCAAAGCGTTGGATATAGCAGCAAAAGAGTTAAAAGAATAATGGAGCATGTGTCATAAGCCATACTGGGGCAAGAAATATAAAATTTGATTGGACTCATGGGCTGCTGAACAGAAATTTGCATCAAAGATGCCAGGGATATTTAGTACAAAACCTGCCTATTATCTCTAGATATACCTTTTTAGCATATATATCAAAACCTTTGGTTTTGATTCAATGAAAGACCTGATAAAACCCAAATAATTTTGTTTATGAAATAGCATTGATTTTTGACAGGTTGCAGATCTTGTGCTTCCTGCTCATACATACCCGACTGATTGATTTGTTATTGGATTTACCAGACATCAAGTTGGCTCTGTAATAGTTTTTCTACCACCATCTTTACTCTCAAATTTCTATTACTATCAAGTTAGTCAGCCAAAATTGTGAAGTTGACAAACAGAGGTCCTCACTTTATTCTTCTGATCTTTTCGTATTCCCTTCAAGTGACTGATCTCCATATCCAATGTACTATTAAATAAAAGTTTGGTTCTTAGATTTGATATATATATATATATATATATGTGGAAGGCTCCACCCCTTCTTACCTGAAAGTTGTTGGGATTAAACTCTGGTTGCTGCCTCACTCATGCCCCCAACACTATCAGTCGACTCATGACCAAGTTTCCTTAATTGTGATCAAGTTGACTCATTTTGGTCTGTCAACCATCATCTTTTTTCATGCCTTCATTTGCTTTTTTTCTTTTCCTTTTCTTGCATTATTCTAATTTTTTTGGTGCTGCTAGATCTAGAAACAATGTTGCCACAGAGGTCCTTACTTTATTCCTCCGATCTTTAGTATTCCCTTCAAGTGACTGATCTCCATACCCACTTTCTCCAATGTACTATTAAATAAAAGTTTGGTACTTAGATTTAATATATATATATATATATATATATATATGGAAGGCTCCACCCCTTCTTACCTGAAAGTTGTTGGGATTAAACTGGAAAATATTTGAGTCCATAACTAGAATTCCCGTTTCATTCTCAACATCCCATGCTAAACTCATCGTATTTTTTTCTGCAATGTGATTAAAATTATGCCAATTGAATTATGAATAAATCTACATTTCTTCCTGATCTTCAGTGTCTGGTTGGTCTGGTGGTTAAGTTTGGTGGCATTCTTATTTGAACTGGATTAGCATTTTCTAATTGTTTGAACACCCTCTTCATCCTTGACTGCTTACAAGCTAATAACTGGTGAATCCCAAAACCTTTCTTGCTGCCACCACCACCAAAAAAATGGTAAAAACCTTCACCCAACACCCATAACTTTATTCCTCTATAATTCTTTTTTGGATATTGAAGAAGATATCTACTTGCACCTTCAATGAAAGAAAATGCTGCTTCTAAAACTTTTTTGAAAAAAATAGAGAAAAAGATTAAAACCTTTTTTTTTTTTACTAGAATAGTTTTATTTTCGGAAATTTGGTGTTTTTTTCATTTGATTTTTGTTTCTTCTTCCTTCTTTGTGCGCATGTGCACAAAGAAGGAAGAAGCTTTTAAGCTATATTCTTCTTCTTCCTTCAAGTAGCAGGTTTTTGTTCTTGGTCATTTTTTTTTTAAGTTCCTAGGCTCTCTCCTCAATCTCTCTCAAAATCAGGTGATCGGCTTTTTAAAGTTTTTTGGAGTAACTGAAATTTTTGGTAACTTTTTTTATGTTTTATTTATATGCTTATGAAAATTGGTGTTGCTTAATCATTGTAGTAAACAAAATTTGATACGAAGAACATGCTTTAACATGTTATGACCACATTCATTTCTCAGAATCATCCAATGCTTGCTAGAGAGTACGAGCGGGTGAGAGCTGGGAAGCCTCCAATGCCACTTGATATGTCACGATATGGTCTTGAAACGCCATCTGTAAACAAACGGAATGATGAAACTGCTTGGAAGCAAGCGCTACAAAAAGCTCAACGCTTATTACAACATCAAGTGATCAGGTAACATGACTTGTGATTTTGTAAAGTTTGATTTGTTGCTTAGTCGATTCTGACGTGCTTTAGATTTTCTAGAAAAAAGAAGAAACAAATAACTTGGTTGGACTATAGGAGTGATTTGATTAAAATACACATTTAATTAACATGATTTTTTAATATCATTCAATTGTTTTTATAATCACTCTTGAAGATAAAGTCGTTAATAACTTTTGAGATTTATTAGTATTGAAGCATGTTTATATATGGAAAGTGAGAATCTGTATGAACTTATATGAACATAATGATCTCTTGTTGGTGAAATTGCTATCTTCTTCCCTTTTGAAATAATTAATTTTCCATATAGGTGTGGCAGCATGTTTATGTATGGGAAATGAGAATCGGTTTCATCTTAATACGACATGGGTCCATCAAATATTTTTTATACATCACCAGTGAAATAGCTCTGATTCTGCTCAACCACAAGTCATTTGAAATAATGCCTTGAAATTGTCGTTGTTGTTAATGTTGCTCGGTTGTGAAAATATTACTGATGTTGTTTTATGTTACTGTTATGAACTGAAGGTCCTTATGCTCTATCAATCAATAACTCAATGAGTACAGGAATTGTATATGGGTTTTGGTTCTTTCCATTGTTCTTCCGTATGCATTTCATTTATCCAAATAACTTCTTTCTACTAACTCCGGAACATGCTAAGAGTTCATTTTGTGGGAAATAGGTGTGTAGTGTTGCACTTTTTAACTTGCAAATTTCTTGATGTAGTACCCTAGTTAATCCCAAGTGGACTTTTAGATGGAAAGAGTAGGTTTCCAGTAATATTAATATGACCTTCAACTGAGCTAAATTTTGTTCCTTTTTTCTTCTTCTTCTTCTTCTTCTTCTTCTTCTTCTTCTTTATTTATTTATTTTTTATAGAAAAAATTACAGTGTGTCAAATTGGTGAATAATATTTTTCTGAAATTTATCGTAGGAGTATGATTTGACTATTTTGCAATTAGTATATCTGATTGGAATTAATGTGAGAAAACTTTATAAAAGTTATTCTAGTATGTGTAAAGGGGCATGCTTTGGATTGTCACCACTTCATTATTGGAAATTCAGTGATAAATCATCCCTCCCTCAATTTCTTCACCTCCTTTTTGTAGTCCCTTGATTGTGTCTTTTTGTTCTTTCGCTCCTCTGCTCCTCTTTCCTCCCAAAATCTGATATTGACATCTTTCTGTTTTTGTAACTTGAGTGTTTAATACTTGTAGGCTAGAAAATCTGGAGTTTATGTCAAAACATGGTGCTGAAGTCTGGAAACAACACAACCAAAGATTGGAGGCATTCTTATCCAGGTTGTTCATTTCTATCCCTTATGAAGTGTATCTTTCGTTTCTGCATCGTATAAAGAAACACTTGGCTTTTGCTTTAATAGATGTTATTGCATTGTTTTCTTAAACCAGTTCATTTACATTCTTTTGAGTTTGTTATCTTGCATTTTCACTTATCTGCCGCGGGGTAGTTATAATTTTTCAGGAAACCTTTAGTTGTGCATCGTTCACTTGGTACCTTCAAATATCTTTTGTGCTTATTTAGGCCTTTAGATAAGGTAAGGCATCACAATTGTATATTTCCAACACGTCACGTGACAGGCAAGCCTTAAGCTGCACTTTGTTTGCACGTTTGAATAAACGTGTGCTACATTTTCATAAAACACAAATAATGAAATAATTGACTTCCCCCCTCCACCCGCCCCCCCCCCCCCCCCCCCCCCCCCGCCCCCCTCTATGTATGAGAAGGGAAAAGAAAGAGAACAAAAGAGTAGGAAACTCACGTCATATACCTCAAAAAAGAAGAGGAAGAAGGTGTGGGCTCTAAGTCAAAGTGCGGATGGGTATTGAGAGAGAGAGAGTCTAAATCCAACCAGGTTTGGGGTCACTGACCAAATCCGCCTCTCCTTGCCTTGGCCCAATTAATTACAATAACTCAATAACTTTCATCCCAAGTCAAGGTGTGCATGGGTATTGAGGGAAACTATAAATCTAACAAGGTTTGGGGTGGGCTCAAACCCACCTCTCCTCGCCTTGGCCCAATTATATTATAAAAACTCAATAACATTCATCCTAAATCGCTTAGGAGTGGAACCGAAAAATCTCTAACTCCTCTATAGAAGGCATGACATTCCCCTACAAAGACTTGGTGAAGCTGGGTTTCTTGATGAAGCATGTAATTTCTCCCTTTAACATAGTATGTCAAAAAAAAAAAAAAAAAAAAAAAAAAAATCGAACTGTTTGGGCACCTTTAACATCTTCCAAAGTGGAAGGGTTGAAGGAAAAGGAAGTACAAAGTGGGAGGATGGAAAGATGAAATCGGGAGGATATGCTATACTGGAATAAATTAGTTATAGAGTTAGTTATTTAAAGTTCGTTAATTAAAGGAAGGGGACTAGAACATGAAGTTCTTCAATAGGTTGACTAACTCCTAGAGGCTATTTTTTTTTATAAGTAATAATTGAAGTAAAAAAGGCGTTCAAGAGGGGAACGCATCCCTTATACAAAAGTGGAACTAGGGATTAAGATCCCAAAGAAGCCAAAAAAAATAATTAAATCTTCGGAAGAAGAACAGGACTTCCTCTTCACATAACTAAAAAGAGAGCGTATGATGTGAAGTTTCAGAATCGCCGTGGACGATTCTTTCCCTTCGAACATTCTACTATTCCTCTCCTTCCAAATGCACCACCAAACACAATGTGGTACAACTCTCCAATAATCACGAACAGCGCTACTCACACGGCATCCTCTCCATATACAAATCAAATCCTTAGGATAACGAGGTATAACCCAATGCATATCAAACAGACAAAAGACAAGATTTCAACAATCCCTCGCTGTAGGACAATGCATGAGAATGTGAGCAACTGACTCACCATCTTGTGTGCACAAACAACGCCAATTAACAAGACAATTGCCCCTTTTCCTTAGATTATCAATCGTAAGGATCTTACCCCAAACAATGGTCCAAATAAAGAATGCCACTCTAGTTGGAGGCATAGAACGCCAAATAGTCTTCTATGGAAAATCAACAATATCGAAATCAGAAAGACATAAGAATAAGGAATGAACTTTAAAGAGACCATGGGAAGAGGGAATCCATGTCATAACATCAGTACCTCTGCCAACTGCCCCCTGTCGATACAACAAATCCATGAAAACACATACCTCATCCACCTCCCAATCCTGAAAAGAGCGTCGAAATTGCACGTCCCACGTAATCCCTCTACTATCAAGTTGATAACAGTTGGCTACGTAGGCAAGTCTATCAACTGCAATACTGTATAACCTGGGAAATAAACGAGATAAAGGCTAGTCTCCACACCAAAGATCCTCCTAAAAGCATACACATCTACCATCACGAACTTTGAATCTGATATGAGTAGAAAAAGCATCCCATCCCTTCCTTTTGAATTTCCACTCCCCAACTCCTCCCACTAGAGAAACCGGACAAGTAGACCAACCACTACTCTCTTCCCCATATTGACATGAAACTAGCCGTCGCCACGGGCGATGCCTTTCCCTTCCATACCTCCACAGCCATTTACCCAGAAGAGCTTGGTTAAAAGGGACCAGTCTTCTGATAGCAAGACCACCAAACTTCATTGGCTTGCAAACTTGTTCCCAATTGACAAGGTGATACTTAAATTCATCACCTCTTCCACCCCAAAGGAAATCCCTTTGAATTTTTTCGATCCTATCAACAACAGAGCATGGAATTTGGAACATGGATAAAAAATAAGTAGGAAGGCTCGATAAAGTGCTCTTTATAAGCGTAACTTTCCCTCCCTTAGACAAGTATTGCTTTTTCCATCCCGCTAATCTCTTCGCATACCTATCAATCACAGGGTCCCAACACCCCACTATTCTAGAGGAAACCCCTAAAGGCAAGCCCAAATACTGAATTGGAAAAGAACTCACCCTACACCCAAGGACTTCCGCTAAAGAAGAAATATCCTAAACATCTCCAACCGGCACAAGCACACTTTTAGCCACATTAACTTTCAGACCAGAGACAGCCTGAAAACAAGCCAAAATGCACCTCAAATATCTAAGCTGAGACACATTAGCATCACAAAAAACCAAGGTGTCGTCTGCAAAAAGTAAATGAGAGACCTCCATCTGATGAACAGGATCTCTTCCCACCATAAAGCCCTTAATAAGATCAAGATCCTCTGCTCTTCGCATAAGTCTGCTTAAGCCCTCCATAACAATAAGAAAGAGGAAAGATGACAGGGGATCTCCTTGTCTTAAACCCCGAGAGCACCCAAAGAAACCAACAGGAGACCCGTTCACAAGAACAGGGAATTTGATTGACGAAAGGCATGTCTCAATCCATTTCCTCCATTTACTTCCAAACCCCATTCTCTGAAGCAAATAAAGCAGGAAATTCCAATTCACATGATCATACGCTTTCTCAATGTCAAGTTTGCACAAAACTCCAGGAACTCCACTTCTCAATCTGGAATCCACACATTCACTTGCAATAAGAACTGAATCAAGAATTTGTCGTCCTCCAACAAAAGCATTCTGGGAATCTGAAATAATCCCATCCATCACTCCCCTCAACCTAAAAGCAAGGACCTTAGCCAGAAGCTTGTAGATACAACCCACTGAGCTGATAGGACGAAAGTCTTTAATGTCAGAAGCACCTCCCTTCTTAGGGATAAGGGCAATGAAAGTTGCATTAAGCGACTTCTCAAAAGCAGCAGTAGAATAAAACTCCTGAAAAGTGCCTATGACATCATTTTTCACAACTGTCCAACTTTCCAAAAGAAACCGTATAGTGAACCCATTTGGCCCCGGAGCTTTGTCCCCATTACAACTAGATAAGGCCTTTAGAACTTCTTCTTCAGTAAAAGGAATCTCAAGCCCTTACCTATCGATCTCGGAAATGGCCTCAAAATGAAGACCATCAAGTTTGGGTCTCCAAACAAGCGGTTTAGTATAAAGCTTCTGATAAAAAGAAGCAATCCCATTACGCACATCTTCCTCCTTCCACATCTCTACACCTTCTACCCGAATACGTCCTATATGATTACTTCTTCTATGAGCGTTAGCAAGTCTGTGAAAATTTTTTGTGTTGCGATCTCCCTCTTTTAACCAAAGAGCCCGAGATTTTTGTCACCAAGATATCTCCTCCATACTAGCAATCTCTGCAAAAGCTGTTTGACAAGAAGCTCTCCTAGAACGCAAGAACTCCACATCCCCACCCGCCTAAAAGAGGCGATCAATCTCATAAAAATCAACAAGGACTCTACTCTTCCTCCATTCAAGATTCCTAAAAACGTCTTTATTCCACTTTTTAAGATCGAATTTGAGAGCCTTCAACTTTATAATTAACATGAAGCTAGATGAGCCTATGACAACAACTCCCTCCCACCAAGACTGAACTTTCCCTTGGAAGTCCTCCGCTCTTAGCCACATATTCTCAAATCGAAACGGAGACCTTTGAGAACTTAAACCTCCACAATCTAAAACCAAAGAAACATGATCAGAAATGACCCGAGCTAAAACTGCTTGAACGACATCCGGGAATTTCTCTTCCCACTCCCCAGAAATCAAAAAACGATCCAGCCTTGAAAAAGTGACTGGGTCCCTGCCATTAGACCATGTATAGGCTGCGCCTTCCAGAGGTAAATCGATAAGATGATGCTCGTCAATGAAATCGGAAAACTGATCCATTTCAGAAGACCTCCTACCTCCTGTGGACCTCTCTAATGGGAATCTAACAGAATTGAAGTCCCCACCCAAGCACCAAGGAAGAGACCATATTTCTTGAGCATGATTAAGCTCCTCCCAGGAAAAAGGCCGATCAATATCAACAACTGGTCCATAGACCCCAGTGAAAACCCAACTGAAGTTGTCCTCTTCCAACTTGAACTTGCAAGACACTGAGAATCTCCCCACCCACACATCCAGCCGTGACACCCATCTACAATCCCACATAATTAAGATACCGCCCAAAGTACCTGTAGCAATCAAAACCTCCCATTCTACAAACCTTCCTCCCCACAAACTCCTAACCACTCCATCCGTAATGGATGCCAACTTTGTTTCTTGCAAACAAACAACATGGGCCCCCCGCTTCCTCAAAGCAACCTTAACCACCCTTCTTTTATTCGGGTCGTTGAGACCACGAACATTCCACGAAATAATTCGTAGCTTCATTAAAAACCAGATAAGATAATCTCCCCACCTCCTTTCTTCGCGCTCCGACTCCTAGTCCTTCCTCTCTCCTTCACCACCCCTTTCTTTCCTTCATAATTGACTTCAGAGATCAGATTCTTGATCTCCTGTGCCCC